GCTTGGAGGAATCCAGACACAAGTGTCTCAGCCTCAGGTGCGGTGAAAGGCAGGCAAATGTACTTTTTCCCGAGATTTGTGGTGATTGCTTTACACGTCCGCCGCACAATCAACGACACAGTCCCCCGAGCCAAACCAAATGCATTCGCAGTCTTCCTCAGTCTGCCTTCATCCCCAAGGTAGTACAGTGTACAAGCCACCTTTTTTAGGACTCCTACCGGTGCTCTCATATTCGTCCATCTCCCTTCGATGTACGGACGAAGTTCTTCAGAAAGAGCCACCACAGACTCTCTTGACATGCGAAAGTTCTCTTTCCAGGCCTGGGCATCGACAAGGCCATTCTCAAAGTTGTCCCACCAGCGACTCGTTCTTCCTGGTCTTAACCAAATGCTACGTATAATCGTCCTGCGCGTGGGTAAAGGTTGGAGTATCTCCCGCAAATACTCAATGCTCTTTCGGCGGCGATATAAACAACGTATTATGTGAAGGTTATGTTGTACGAGACTAAACAACATGAATATCTGCCGGAGCACAAGCACCACACGTTGATCCGCCATTCTTGTTATGGTTTATCTGAGCTACCGCGCATGCCCAACTTTATGGTGGACGTGGTGACGTCAATAGCAGCCAAAGAATTCACACCTCTTTTGTTCTCCCGGCAGAGATACACCCCCCGCTGTGCAGCGTATCTGAGTTGTCCCACTCTGCAGGCTGGATCTGAACACTTACGTTTTCACCCCCCTGGAACACAGTCTTCGTATGAACGCTTGGTAGCAACCGACATCCAACTATACCGTTTTACTGCCACATTGTCTCCGTGTAAACTAGGCCTAAAAACAATACAATAAGTAAAACACTAAAATGTGAGACTAAAAGGAACACACAATACATGAATAATAGCAATAACAATAAAATAAATAATAAATAATAAAAGATAAATAGAATGGAATAATAAATACTAATCAAAAGCTAATCTAAAAAGGTGTGTCTTGAGCCTACTTTTAAAAATATGAATGTTCTCTGTGGCCCTGAGCTCCTCCGGCAGACTGTTCCAGAGACGGGGGCCGTAGTGCTGGAAAGATGCCTCGCCGTGAGTGTGTGTCCTGACTTTGGGGATGGTTAGGAGTCTGCTGCCGGAGGAGCGCAGGGGCCGGGAAGGTTCATAGGATAAAAGCAGTTCTGAAAGATAAGAAGGCCCAAGACCATTAAGAAATTTAAAAACCATTAAAATAACCTTAAAATCGATCCTGAAACACACGGGGAGCCAATGCAGCGATTTTAAAACCGGCGTAATGTGGTCCCGCCCCCTGGTATTAGTCAGGACACGTGCGGCCGAGTTTTGGAGTAATTGAAGACTTGCAATATTCTTTTTGGGAAGACCAGAGAGCAGGGCATTACAATAGTCAATGCGACTGGTGATGAAAGCATGCATCAGCGTCTCCGTGTTCTTCTTCAGACATATATGGTCATACATTTATACATATACACAAACACTCAAAAACATTAACACCCACACTTACACATTAGCACCTACATATTTCCACGACAGTACTTGCTTGTTATTTTATTTTTATTAAGTATTTTGTTTTCTTTTTTTCATGTTCTGGATGCCTTAAAAATGCCCCCCCCCCCCTCCCCACTCCCTCCCCCACCAATATATTCTGCACTACTATGTTGTACATGGTAATTTATGTTTTTTATGGAATCTGTATCACATGGTGTTAAATAAAAATAAAATAAAAACTGTAGTAACCGGTCAATAGTAATAGTAATAATAACTCAGCGGTCAATAGTTCATGAAAGCTACTTTGTTAAACAAAAGTAATTGTAAAGTAATCCATTGAATCCAATGCACTGCAAGCGCCGAGAAAAGCCCTTAGGGAGCGTCATCAAATGTACAGACCAGCTTTGTAAACGAACAATAACTTTTACGGCAGCCATGTACACTCACTAAACTCTCAGGCAATATAAATAATGACCATGTCTAACTGCTACAGACTTTAATTTCAACATTTGTGAGTTTTTTTAATGAATACATATGTTTTTCTTTTTTTATTTGCTTTTACAGTAAATGGTCTTTACTGTAACATACATAAATAATGTATGTTACAGCATTTGTCTTTTTTATATTATTTATTACTAATAAGAATGCATGAAGTCCTCAACCAGCCAAAGAGTTCCACCTATTTATTAAATTTCATTTTTGACTAAGGATTTGTTTTTTTATATGTAGTCAATAGATTAGATTATAAAAACTGTGATTATGAAATTCCATCATTACTGTGTAGATTGAAATAAGGACTAATAAGTGCTCAACCCGATCCACCCAAATGGTGTCCCTTATTTTTTTGTTCTCAAGTTGGAAACCCTACCCGGCACGCACTTAGGGACTGCTGAGTAGAGCCCACGGACTTGGCGGGAAAGTGAAAGGGAAGGAGCAGGAGCGGAAAATGGACGCCCACAGGAGATAAACTTTGCTCAACTTTTCCTCGGGACGTTCGTGCAGTGACCAATCAGAGAGCTGCAAAGTGGTCACGGGGACATTGGTGGTCTGAGCAAGCAGACTGAGCAGACTGAACATACTGTAAACAGCCATAACAGGAGCTACACCAGGACTAAACCAGGACTACACCAGGGTTGACAATGGGGGACTGTGTGCTTGTAAATATATGCGTTGTCATGCTCCTGTGACCTTATGCAACTGCTTTGAGTGTGTTCGCCGATTCGGAAATATCGTTTAATAATACAAAAAAACTTATGGCGCACCTCCGTGAACACATACTACTGTTGTATAAAGCCCGTGGAATGTCTGTGAGCAAAGACACGCTGCAAAGCTGAATATTGGAGAAGATCTGTACACAAGAAGCCGCTAGCATAGCTCTGTTAGCATCAGAGCCGGCCGGCTACTTCCGGTACTTCCGGCTCGCGTCAGGACGTTCTGGTGTGAAGTCCTCTGCGTCTGAAAACTAGAGAATGCGCGTCTGGTGAGCGGGGCTTCAGCGTTTGAGCGTTTGCGGTATGAATGCACCATTAGACTTTTTGCTTGCTTGGACAAGATGAGTAAAGATAACTGATCTGTACTGGGTTGTGTTGTGACTCTGGTCTGTGAAAGGCGCTATATGAATAAAGATTACGTACTCACTTACTTTCCAGACTAAATCACCAGTACAAACCCCTGAATTTTTGCTTTCTTTATTATGTATGTTCTCTAGCTGCAGAAAGCTAATGCTATGTTTAAGACATCACCCTTGTAGGGCTCCATGCACTCGTGTCCGCAGCCGTTGTAGCAGCACTTCATGTGGCCCTCACAGTCAGTGTCTGAGGAGCAGTACTCCGCACACATGCCCACGCCCCTGGCTTCACTGCACACATCAAAACACATTTTGTAAAGCAGCACATTGAGTCATTTGGTTTATTTGGCAGTGGCAGTGTACATTTCTGTAGATGTACCAAAATTAGCCGAAAGAAAGAATATTACATTTGCAGCCCATACTCTAGAGTCTAGACAGATTTTTAAGTTTTCACCCTAAAAGCACAAGTAAATGTCCTAAAAGCATCTAACTGTTTATTGCTCCCAAAACTATTTAGTTCTATATATAGTTTTCACATTAATCTCCTTTTTCCCTCTGTCATATCTTTAAATCAACTTTCTCCTACAGAAAAGTGAAAAAGAGAGGACCACACATCAGCTTACAGCCCGAAGTGTCAAATAGTGACTCAAAGGGTGGGCAAAAGAGAACACGTTTTTATCAGGATAAAGACCGCATGTTGAGGTCTGATTCCTTAAAAGTGAAATATCTTCACTTACCTATTCTGTCTTTTGGGTTTGCGGCCTGTCCAGAGTCCATGTTCACAAATATAAAAAGTGCTAAAGTCAGAGCACAGATAACAGAGCAGTGCTTGTCCATGTTGCCTGCAGCCTGGAATGCACTGAGACCCCCGGTAAACACTTCTATATCCACAATAAGTGAAGCCCATGAGGACTGGCCCTGGACTGGCCCTGGGTCCTACTGCCCGACAGCTCTGCACACAAATGTTAGAAACAACCAACCATTTCGTCATCACTGGCTGCTGTTGACAAAATCTTCTATTGATTATTTCAGTAAGTGACTGTGAGGCAGTTGTAGGACGGGTCGTGCCTACACACGCATCTATTTGCGGGGCTCCGTCACAGACATATTCATTCTCAAGAGGTTTTGCAGGTCCTTCCTCCCTGCTGCTGTCAGACTGCACAACGAGAACTGCTGAGTCTATACACTTGCCACTTGATAATGACGCACTAGTCACTTAACCTGCTGCTGGCAATACTATTGTTTTTTCTGGTCATATTGTCTGCTGCTAAAGTGCAACATACACATCTGTAAACACCTCTGAACCAAGTGCAATTATAGCTCCAGAGTTTTATTTTATTCTATTTCAATATCTTCATTCATTCATTTTCTTACCCTTTAATATTTCATTATCTAATACTTATTGTTTAATTCTTCTAATTATATTATCTATTGTGTGCAATGTGAGGGCTCTAATTTGCTTATTTTATTCTGCTGTGATGTGTGCAACGATGACACTGACATTTTCCCACTGTGGCACGAATGAAGAATAATCTTATCTAATCTTATCTTCTCATTTGTCCGACAGAGAAGTGAGTCACTCAGCCACTTAGCTCACTGGGCTTTTTACTTACAAGTATGAAAAAGTTTTCAAATAACATGAAGACAGCATGTCGTGTTCTGATTTTCTCACACGTTACATAAACTATTTAATCAACTCTAACAACTGCAAAGGCACATAAACACGCTCACGCATGCAGTATATTCTTTTGAGTTTAGAAATAACAAAACAAGATCACCATGTGTGAGTGTTTCCTCTTTATATAGTATGTCCATCACATAATCAGAGCCTAATGAAACATAATCAATGAAGAGCCAGAACTTTTGACAACCAGACCAGTCCAATTACAAATGTTTCATAGCTTTATTTATATCTATATATTCTGGTCATTAGTAAGGCACGAACACGGGAAAACACTTCAGCCCACAGCCTGTGTCGCAGCACTGGTAGCCGGGGGGACAGGGTCTGACGTGACTGCACTCATTTGGACTGCAGCAGCCTGGTTGAGGATTAGGTTTTGGGCAGTTTCCTTGTTGGATTTCTGTTGGATGACAAAAAAACAGAAACATTACCATGAAAATACTAAAGTACTGTGCAATGAAAATGAACTGATTTGATCATATTATAGTTTAGTTGTGTGGATGTATGTTTAGAAGTGTCACATTTATCACATTTATTATTTAATTTTTTTTTCCAAATGAATGAATACCTGGCTTCAGACAGGTTTTCCCTGGACCACAGGGGTTGGAGCAACATTTGAGGTCCCCGCCACATTGACTGTCATCTGTGCAATCCGGGCATCTTTTGCAGCGTCCTGTTTGGGTTGTGGAAAGAAAAAACAAACAGTAGCGCTTTAAAGTTTATGCCCCAGATGAGATTTTCTTGTTTGGAGGTTTTGGAGATCACAAAATGTGTTAATTCTCTCTATTGTATTTTCAAATTAGAAAAAGAACCTCATCCACAACTATAAATCTTCAAGCTGTCTTAGAAGGGGAATTGTAAACTTTTTACTATTTTAAAATAGAAAAACAATGTATTTGCCCTTTAAATGGCTTCATACAATGAGTGAAATAAAAGTGTTCCCATTATCATAAAGAATCAGTCCAGAATGTCTTACTGTGGTCTTTGCAGACTCTGCTTCCTGCACAGTCATCGCAGCACTGCTGACCTCTGCCACACGCCCAATTGTGACCGCACCCAGGACAAGATTGCCTCGCAGGGCACGATCCTGGTTTATTTACTGTGAAAACAAAGTAGTCACATTACACATATATTTTTTCCCATTAAAGATGATGAGGTTATTAGAAAGAAATGTATTGTTTTGCAATGTGAAATAATAAGTAGAAATAATGTATTGAAACAAGTATGAAGGGTCTGCCTGTAACTTCCTGTGCTACCACATCACACAAAGAAGTTGAATTTGATTTTTTTTCCCCAATTTGAAATCTATCAGATGCATATTCCTTAAAAAATCCAGGTCTGTTTATGATGAGGGAACAATGTGTCCTTTAAGTGAGAAATGTTGTTAATACAGATACAATCTGTAATGATTTAACTTAAAGTGATAGTCTGGAACTCTAAACGAATTACACATTTTAAGAATTGTATTAAATTGACCTCCTGGCCTTAAATGTTGATTATAAAATAAGTCATTTTATGAGATATAATATTACGGGTAAGTCCTGCCTTCCCTTCTCTTAGCTATAGCTCAAAATCCACGATGCCGTCCACGTTAACCAATCAAGCGATGCCAAGGGCTGTCAATCATCGGCGCTCGTGCTTGTATATAATTCGAATATTAAATATATATACATATATTCGAACGAATATTAGACAGCCCTTAATATTCGAAGCTGTAATGGGCATTAACTTTTTTAAATGATATATACACTACCATTCAAAAGTTTGGGGTCACATTGAAATGTCCTTATTTTTGAAGGAAAAGCACTGTAGATAACTTTAAACTAGTCTTAACTGTAAAGAAATACACTCTATACATTGCTTATGTGGTAAATGACTATTCAAGCTGCAAATGTCTGGTTTTTGGTGCAATGTTGTAATTGCTGCAAATGGAGGATTCTTTGACAAAAGCAAAGTTGGATGTAAAACAAATCTTATTTCAAATACAAATCATTATTTCTAACCTTGTCAATGTCTTGACTCTATTTTCTATTCATTTCACAACGTATGGTGGTGAATAAGTGTGACTTTTCATGGAAAACACTTGGGTGACCCCAAACTTTTGAACGGTAGTGTATATATAAGATAGTTAGTTCCCAAAGGTTTCGCCTGACGTGGCTAGACGGGTAACAGCTAACAGCTAGGCTAGTTAACTAACTAGAACTCTCTGGAACTACAAGAAAAGTGAACAAAGAATTGGGAACAGCGGTGAGTGACCCAAGTATATAAACTTAACCTAAATCCATAACCAGATCCTCTGCAAATGTGTCCTAAAATGTTCTACTAATGTTAATAGCTACTTCTGGGTTTACTGCTTCAAAACTGTTTTTTTGTCATGAAAACGTGAACAGGTAATTCTGAAAATCTTCGTGCACGTGTGTTAAGAATGTGTATAATGTATTCTCCGGTTAACATTTAAATGTGTTGATTGATTGATAATTGTGTTATTGACCATGGCTAGCTTCGTTAGCTTCTCACACAGACAGAAGTAATAAGTGACAGGCGCTGAAAGCCCGTTGTGACAAAGTGTGCAAACTTCTGACCAGTTCAATTTTACATACCTGAAGTACAAGCACAGAGTGCCTTGCCAAAGGGCGGCGGCCATTATTGGTTTGAGAGGTCCGTTATCAAGAAATCATGATCAGTAGAACGTTTTGAAATTATATTTAAATCAAAGGAGCGTTCTACTGCTGTGAGGAGCTGTATAATAAATTATAATTAATAATTAAAATATTAAATTAATAATCTCTCCTCCGCACGTCTTGGCCCATTGACCTGGCGCGTGCACGGAAAAGTACGTTTTTTTTTTCATAATCATGTACTTCTCTCTCTTTTCTGTCAAACTCCAGACTAGCCCTTTAAACACAATTATGTGGTTACTGTCAACCTGAATAGAAGAAATACTTGAATTATGAACTATACTCTGCAGATTTCTGCCTTAAAACAAATATGATAAATATATAATATGTAAATAATATATAGAGAAAAATATTCAGAAAACAATTTTGAAACTCCCAGCTATTGTCCAGCGACCCTGACCCTGGCATCAGATCACTTAGATCTGTTCTGTAAATGTGGGTCGAATTTTCTGATTGAAGATAAAGTTTTAAATGAGTAAAGTATAGCATTTGATTTTGATGTTATATCTGTATGTAATCATATTCTAATAACATAAAAAGTAGATGACCTGGCTCAGAGTGAGGCTCTCGACACACATTTCTTCCTCCACATGAGGCGCAGCATTTGGAGCTTCCTTCACAGTCGTGGTCATGGACGCAGGTCGGTTCGCACCTCGCAACCAGACAAGGCTCTGGTTTGATTTGAACAAGGAGAAAAATCATTAGTATTAGTAAAATGTATCTCTTTTTAATAATACATTTTCCACACACAATTTAAACAGGATTACCTTTTATCAAAATATTTGCAGTACAATACATGGTTAACCCGCTTTTGTCATTACCTTTTCAGTTCTTGTATTTTGGGCAAGTGATATTATATATATTCATGGCATCTTTTGAAACCAGGAACCTTTTTGTGACTGTTGTTATTAAACATTTACTTATGTATCTATTCTTAGACTGATCTGCTGCTAATAACATTTATGGACATTGGTCATTCGCCCCTTGTGGACCAACAGCTCTGTGTTATTCTGTTTTTATGGTTGCATTTCCTGTGTTTGAACTGTTTGATTCTCTGATCTGTGCTTGCGAATTGACAACTTTGTAAAGTCCTCCGAGATAAGTACTGTTGTGATTTAGAGCTTTACAAAAATAAATTGAAGTGAATTGAGTTGAATTGCATCGTAGACTATGGAACAGACGAAAGGCCAAAGACAAGATTCTTGTTTTTAAGCTAAAGACACACATCATCAGATGTGACTATAGATGTGTGTGTGTATTCTGTATTCTGTGGTTGGGTTGGCGGGTCATGGGCATGCGGGATTGTTATTAACCAAAATGTAAAGCCGTTTGTGTTGCAAAAAAGTGCTTTATACAATCAATTATTATTGATTGATTGATTATAGAATTACTACTGTTTATGTTTTATTCTTCAACCTAATCACATCTGCAAATGTTCCACCACCGCGCATGTTAAAGTTTTTTCATTTTTACAGTGTGAATGCAACCAAAGGAAAATGGGTGGGTCTTCTGAAAAAAAAAAGACCTACTGGTATTTTAGTCTCTGAATGTTACTGGAAAAAAGAAGCTTTTTTTAGATTCACTATTCGATCATGTCATATCATTCTCGTCTGACAGTCCTTTCTATGGGCCAACATCCTGCATATGTTTTTTAATACTGTAAAGCGGTGATGACCTCTTTACACCTTCATGAGACCTTTGTGGCCGTTTTTGTTTCAGGTCTTCTCAAGTCACAGAGCTCTGAGTCCAAGTCAGGTCTGAGTCAATGACATAGACTAGTCTGACTCGAGTCCACAATAACAATAACATGTTTGTTAGGTACAATATAACGTCTTACCTGTCCTTAATACACAGGTGCTCCTCCCACATCCGTCACTGCAGCATCTCTCACCCCAACGACAGCGATCACAATTGTCACAATATTCCTCTGGATTTGGACACAATCCTGGTTTGGGAATATCTATGGGGGGAGATTCTATGGGAAAAGATCATTTTAATTGCTGCAGTGCTCAGTACAGAACAGTAATACAAGGAGCGCTCAAGGTTTAAATAGAGTTTAAATGCATTTTTAAAAAAGAGTCACTGATAATTATATTGTAACTTAAATACTTGCCAAAGTAGTACTAGTATTGTCCACTAGGACTTCAAACACACTTTGGAAAGTAGGACAGTGAGTGAGGGACATGTCACCTTTTGGGAGAACACAGGTTCTGCAGTTGAAATGCGTGTCACAGCACTTCATCTTCCCAAAACAGTCACTGTCCGAGCTGCACTTCCAGGGGCATGGCCACAGAAAGCCCTCAGGTGTAGGACACGATCCAAGTTTTCCAACTAGAAATACATCATTTATTAAGCAAGGCAAGGCTAGTTTAATTGTATAGCACAGTTCATACACAAGGCGACTCAAAGTGCTTAACAATAAAGATAAAAAAATAATCACAATGATAGAAATAATTACTATTAATAATTATGAAGGTTTTCCCAGTTATTGACACTTTGTCCCATGTCCACATTGTTTTACCCTTGAGTGTTGAGTCAGAGCATTATTTATATTTTAAAAGACTAAAAACTGGCTAACCATCAGTGATCTTACCACATGTTATACATATAATAACAAACGCGTTTTATGTGTCACTAAAGGGGCATCGTGCAACATTTTCAATCAAGTTCACTTCCTGCTTGTTGCCATGGCAATTTTTTTCATTTTAAAACAGACGTTAAATACATACTTCTTGGCACACAGAGATGGGAGCAGCCGTCGAAACAGCAGATCTTGTTGTCCCTGCAGTTACGGTCTGTGGTGCACTCGTTAAAGCAAAACCTCAGTTCAAGCGGTGATGAAAATGTATATGGGGGACAACCAGGTCGGGGTATAGGCACTAGAAACAGACGTTAGACAGACATTACACTGTGTGTGTGTGTTCACGTTTACACACAGGTAGAATTAATGAATACAAATAAATAAGAATTAATACGTTTTAATATAAACATCTGATCATGGAATATCTGAGCACCTAATTGTCCCAGTACTCTTATCCTTCCAGAAGTGGGAGGCACTCATGAAAACGCTTGTAATTCCAAGACCGTTCCAAGACACTTGCATTATATAAGCCATACTATTACTATTTTTCTCTGAATTAGAATGTGGACAATTGTATTCAACAGGATTGTATGTACACAATAAATATTTTACGTGTGACCCCCATCAACAGGTATTCTTTAATAATGCATAGACATGATGTCCATAATATTAATATTTACAGTTTTCAATCAGATAATTCAATAAGAGAGCAGAATTTGAGAGACCAGTTTGTGGGGTGAAATTGCTGTTTTTGGCTCCATCTTTATTTGTTTATAAAAAAAATCTGCAAACAAAACCATCGCACATTTATCTAAATGAAATTGGATAAGTAGTCATATGTGACACACAGAGTTCGTACCATGATAATCCACCAGCCAAAATTCAGCCGGTGGATTGCATCAGCAGTGTTGGGAGAAACGCATTACAAAAGTAATGTAATTACCGTAATGTATTTCTTTTTGCTGTTATACAATAATGTAAGACATCCAAAAAATAAACTGGGTAATATTTAACACACGTTACTAAAGTCAGTAATGTGTGTTAAATTGAATTTTAACTCAACATTAAATTGGGTGTTGTTTATATACTATGCCACCACTCGGCCAGCCTTTTTGGTAGAAGATGGCTGAAGCTGAAAGCTGAGGCTGAAGATGCTGGCAGGGAAGGCCTACATGGAACGCCATAACCAAGTGGCTGGCAAAGTGTACAGAAACATCTGTGCAGAGTATGGGCTGGAAACCCCAAGGTCTAAGTGGGAAACTCCTCCAAAGGTGGTGGAGAATGAGCGTGCGAAGATCCTGTGGGACTTCCAGATACAGACCGACCGAATGGTAATAGCGAACCAACCTGACATCGTGGTGGTGGACAAAGGGCAGAGGACAGCCGTGGTGGTGGACGTGGCAATTCCAAGCAATGGTAACATCAGGAAAAAAGAACACGAAAAGCTTGAGAAATACCAAGGTCTCAGAGAGGAGCTGGAGAGGGCTTGGAGGGTAAAGGTGACAGTAGTGCCCGTGGTGATCGGTGCACTCGGGGCAGTGACCCCGAAGCTAGAAGAGTGGTTACAGCGGATCCCTGGAACAACCTCGGACATCCAGAAATGTGCAGTGCTAGTAACAGCAAAGATACTGCGCAGAACCCTCAATATAATTGGTGAAAGTAACTTAAAAGTAATGAAGTAGTAGTGCAATGCTTTACAATTCAGACAGTAATATTGTAGTGTAAAACATTAGTTTAAAATAAGAGTGTACATAATTTATTATGTTTTTGAAGTAACTTGCCCAACACTGCGCATCAGTGCAGTATGATTCTGACAACTGAAGTTGGATTGTAATTGTAATAACATTATTAGACTACTAATAGTGCTCTTGTTATTTATTTACCTTAAGCTATAAATGTATAATTGTCATATAGTCACTTACCTGATGTCGCTGAGAGTTGAGGGACAAAGGCGAGGGCCAGCGTCAGGAGGCAGAGCACAGACAGCTCCATGTTGCTCACTGCTGCAGTCACAGATATCACACTCATGTCCAGCCTCTATTTATTCACCTGAAGAGGAGCCTCGGGGTCAGAGGCTCCGAGTGGCCGCCCACATGTGAGAGGTCTGATAAGCTGTTACAATCATTTTCACAATAAAACTTTTTAATGACTCTCATACTTCCATGTCATTATTTCTGCCCAGTTATGTTTTCACTGTGGTTTGTTTGTTTGTTAGACTAGTCTGACACAATTGGAAGTCAACCCTTTGCATTAACCTAGTTTTACCTATCATTGCCTGGTGTTTTTGTTAACCTGTTGTGAATAATTAAAATACATTTTTGAGTGATGGTGATCACGTTGGAAGGATGAATATTGTTTGTGATTTTCCATTTGATGAAAATATTAATGTGTTTCATACATGCAATGTTTCTCGACTTAAATGATTCTTTTACATGTTAACATCAGTGTGAGATTTCATAGCTCTAGGTCCAAATTGAGTACTATCTTGGTCATTGATCATAATAAATTATTGTCATATTTTGGTGTGATATTCCAAAATTGTATATCAAAGAAACCAATATCAAAGAAATGGAATGTCAAGAAGGGTACAAATAGTATTTTATCACTCACTCAGATTCAGTTTATTTGCCATTTGCAGTAAAAAAAACCACATTGGAATACATTAGCAAAAAAGTCAGTCACACATCTTGGATAACTAGCACCATTGCTAAGCTAATCAGCTGTTAACACCTTCCCATTAGCCCACTGTACAATTTCACATAGAGTGTTACCATGGATCTATAATAATATCTGGATAGGATATTACTAGCTTATAGCTGTCCCACCAACGGGCACAGGGGTTGCCCACGGTACTGCAGACTAAATTCATGCGGGCTGCCCAGAAAGATTTCCCATAGAACTCAATGTAAACTAAAACAGCTAGACCTCAGCTAACAGAGAAGGGTTTTATAAGTCTGATTTCTGAGAAGTAAGACAGATAGGGAAGTGATGAATATACTATATGCAGAGATATAATAGCTAACAAATGTTTAGTTTTATAGAGTATACCAATTGTTTTTGATATTTTACTCTTGACATATTGTATATGTGGTTTCCAGCTATTCTGATGATCAACAATCACCCCTAAGAATATTATCTCATTGACTCGCTCTCTTTCAATCCCATTCCAGTTCAATCTTAAATTAGAATGAGCTCTACCGTTTTTTTTTTCCTCATTTAATGATAACTTGTTTAAGTCAAACCATTTTTTACCTAATCAATTCGGTTTCAACCTGTTCAATTAACTTATTCATGTCATACCCTGAACAAAACAAATTAGTATAACATCTGCAAAAATCACTCAGTATTTTTGATACTTTGCAGATGTCATTTAAAAAAAGAATAAATAATTGAGGCCCCAAAACAGACCCCTGGGGGATTCCACAAAGTAAGGTTTCAGAATGTGTTTTAGTTTTATTAATTTGGACATACTGAATATTATTGAAGTAGCACTCAAGCCATTTATTCACCACACCTCTGATACCATAACCAAGTAGTTCATGATCAATGGTATCAAATGCCTTTTGCAAATCGATAAATATTCCAATTGTATTTTTTTTTTTGTCAACAGCTGAGGTTACATTTTCTATCATGTCCATGACTGCTAGGGATGTACTGTAGATTTGTTACTGCAAAACCCATATTGTTGATCACACAATATAAAAATGTTTCTAAGAAACAATCTAGCTGTTGGACAAATCATTTTTCCAGTATTTTAGAAAATTGATCTAATAGGGAGATTGGCCTGTAGTTGGTTAATAAGTTCTTTCTACCATCATGTCAGGCGGGTTTGATTCAGCAAATAAACAGGGTTAGATGCCAATGCTAAAACGCTAGGTAGCCTTTAGGACATGTTTTGAGACTATTGAATAAAGTATATTTAGGTCAATTTCACACGTTGTTACAGAGCTGCAGAAACAACAGAAAGAAAGACCGAAAAGGAGTAGGCTGAAGCTAATGCGTATTTTGTCTACCCTTTTTACAGTGTAATTAGTATAAGTGAATGTATGCAATAGGGTTTTTATTACGTAATGCCTTGATGGAAAGACCCTAAAGGAGACTCAACCCTTACTCTACCCTTGCAACTTAATACTTTTCTAATTTTAATACAGCACTTGAGTAGCGCCACTAAGTGTCTCCAATTTATTTAGCATTTCCCCTTAATTTACATGTAATCACAGTAGAGCAATGTCCTTGATGCAAAAACAAAATAACATAGTTTATTAAACTGAAAACCGTGACCTTAATGATTTGACTGGATCTTGGTTTCACTGATTGTTTGTATGTCCCTCTTTATCTTGTGTGATTAAAATGCTGGTTAGAACCACAACTGAGCCTTGCATTGCACCTGATAAAAATGAAAACCTTGGTCCTTTAAACTAAATACAAAAGTGCCAAGACAACAATCATGTTGACATGGTTACGACCACAAACATTAACATTTTATTTTGAAAGACAACAAGTAATAGGCATCTGTGAAATAAAAGCAAAATGATACATAATTGTATCAATTGTATTTTGCAAATAAGTAGCCAAAAACAACATGTGTTAAATGTTTGTGGAACACCATGCAATAGTGCTGGAAAGCGGAAGTGCAAGATTTTGCGATATTTCCACCGGCGGATACAAACAAACCACACGTGCCAGTTGTATGGTGCTGAGATCGCCGACTTCTTCCTCCTTAAAGGATTTTTCTGTGTTGTTTTGGACACATTTCGTCTCTGGGACAAAAAAACTGAGTGAGTGGTCGGAATTAGCTGTGAACTGACCATGTCCTGAAGTTTATAAGACGGGGAGATGAGAAAGGTGCAGGGCCGTGTTCAAACTCCATCCATCCATCCATCCATTTTCTACCCTTTAATCCATTTCTGGGTCAGGGGGGTGGCAATCAGAGATGCCACCCAAGTCTCATAGCACCAGCCCCTCACTGACCCTCTGCAGGTGGTGAGTCCACAGGAGGACAGCTGCTCTCTGAGTGTGAGCATAGCCTTGATCTTTCAGTGGGGGCTTTTGGGCAAAGTGGGGTTAAGTGTCTTGCCCAAGGACACAACGACAGCAGTCATCAGCGGGAGTTGGTGGAGAAGGTGCAGAGGTGGGATTGAACCCACGACCTTCTGGCCTTAAGGCCAATGCTCTACCAACTGAGCTACTGTCGCCCCCAAGTGGATATTATGCATCAGAAAGAAAAAATAGAAGCACAACTGCATGCAAATAAATTGATGTTGTCCCGGCTATCTTTGCTGCTTTGGTTATGAGCCAATGTTTACGAATGATCAGTTTTCTGTCTGTTCATTAGCTCCATCTCCACTTCACACCGCAGCTTCACATTGGGCATTTTTGCTGTGCTGTCAAAAATAACATGATGTAGTTGGGTTACGGTCCGTGTACTTTTGCGTTCATTACATTTTCTATTTGAAATTAAATGGAAAATAAAAAAAAGGCTACTTTGCACTTTCAGGCATATGCTAGAAAATGCAATAATGAACCTTTTTTTAAAAGTATTTAATACATTTCGGCGTCAATCGATTACCTGGAAGTGAAACATGTTTGTTTACTGAAGAAAGCCCTATTCACACGGCATTAGTTTTACCTGTGGACCCCTGGTAATTTGTTATAATCGCGGCGGACGTCTGAGATCTTAGTCCCGTGTGAATGCGCCATGTCTGTAATTTGTAAATTAATAATTCCGCCGCAAATTATCTCCTGTATTTGTCCAAACACAGACCTCTGATAATACTAATCCCTCTGATAATACTAATCCCGTGCGAATCTGAAAACATGTAACGCTATGTGTTTGTCTTCATAGACAAACACATACATGTGGATTTTAATGCTGTGGCTGCTGTGGTCAGACGCCAGTCTTTCTGAACTGCGTGAAGTGGAGAAACCCGCGCAAGTGCGGCCGTTATGTCAGATGTCAGTGAAAATATAGCAATTTACAGACAAAGCTTATCCCATGTGAATGCACTGCAAGATCTCAGACGTCCTCCGCGGTTATCACAGATTACCAGGGGTCCACAGGTAATACTAATCCTGTGCGACTAGGGCTGAAGTAAACAAACTTGTTTCACTTCCGGGTAATCAATTGACACCGAATTGTATTAAATACAGTACATAATAAAAAAGGTGAATTATCGCATTTTCTAGTTCCCAAATCTGGTTATTGTAATATACATGTCTTATAAGCAATGAAAAAAACCAAAATGGTCATTTTTTGTATATTGCCGTGTGCCTGAAAGTGCAAACCCCCTTTTTCGATTTTCCATTTGCCTTCAAAAATAGAAAATGTGTTGAACGCAAAAGTATACGGACCGACCGGTTACCTATTCATTTAATACTAATATTATGATTGTCCATTTTCTGTTATATTTGAATTGTAAATCGCTTTGAGACTCCGATGTGCAGTGAAAAGGCGGTATATAAAAAAAGATTACTACTACTACTACTACAATTAAAGGGTCGGCCACGCACTTTTTACAGGTTAGCTCGAATACATATTCAAATTAACCGTCTGTAAAATCAGACGCAATATTTTATCGGAACTGCATTGCTTTTCCCACAGCTTCAGTTGGTCTTTGGGAAACCTAAAAAATGAGCATGCATCGCGTAAACTTATTAGCCGAATCACAGACGCATGTCAGCTTTGCACAAATAGAGAACTCAAGTTTTGCTCATTCATTATGAACAACTCAAGTCACATTTCATGAAGTGAGTTTGTGAAAAGCAGATTCTACATATCACATAAATTCACTAGGATTTAGATCTGGACCTTGTCTGTGTAGTAGTTGGTTTTGTTTCCATAAAAACAACAAAACAATAAATTGGATACAAAAAATATCCTGCAACCGTTAGAAAATGGCTTGGATGAAGCATAAGCTTATTTAGTTCAAACCCTTCTCAACCATACAACCCAATATAAAGTCACACACACACACACACAGACAAGACAAAGACCCAAACTCTATCTGACCCTGCACCTATCTCCCATTACATGCTCCTTGCTGAGGACATCCCACTCTTTCCTCCACTTACTTTTGCTTTGTTTTTTGTTTTTTTGGAAAATGAGTCCTCTTAACACCCGCCTCATTTTGGCTTGTGCACAAAAGTTGGGCATACCCAAATGTCTTTGCTTATTTAAAAACACATCTTACATCTCACATGCTTGTGTGATGCCTCATTAGCTAGAGCCTTCTAGTTTATGTGAATATACACTAAAATAATGTTTGTCATTCCTATTTCCCTCTGCATCCTTTGAAGTTTGGGAAAAAAATCAAAAAATGTTAGCCTCGCCTAACATTTTCAATTTCTAAAGGCCCTAAAAAAGGCATACTTCATTGTAAGTTCACAATATTCAAACCCTGTGGTCATTGTGTTGTTGACAACAACTGTCTAAAGTTTCAGATTTATAAGTTTTATAGTTTTTATGCAGTTTCTCTTTTTCATCAAGTAGTGCACACAAAAATTAACAGCGCGTAAACTAGAGTGGTCCAAAAGAAATTACCCCCCTCAGCATTGATACACATGTGGAACGGAGCTTTGAGCCAAGAGCCAACTTTTGGACCATCCTGTAAAGGTGTTTTCGGGAGGTCAGAAGATGCTATATGTTAGCATTGGCTAATTCTTATTCCGGGTCCACCCCCATCGGCCCGGGGGGGTAATCCAAGCATGTCATTTTGGCCAATTGCAGCAGCGAACACCCACGCTCCACATCAGAGAGCAACAAAGTGATCACGGAGACTCACGCTCAAAAACAACCAAAAAATGAGCCAACCCAGGATTAAACCAGGGATGAGGACAGGGGTCAGTGCTTGCAAACATGTCTTTACCCTGAGTTTCTGTAAAAGTGCCACTACAGAAGTACCGGTGTCAGCATCCAAGCTCCGCCCACTTCTGTGGTTTTTCCCCAACGCAGGACGTCAGAGGACGCACATGTTTGGAATGTTATGAATGTGATTAAAAAACACAGATGTTCGGATTTGTGTGGATGCAAATTATTTTATAAATGGAGGGGGGGAAATATTTGGTTTTAAAAAAACACTGGCATCAGTGTGTGTACCTCTTGTCAAGGTAACAAATTAAATCCGACTGAACAGCCAAAGTCTCAATCTTAATTCTGTTAGATCTGAGTGCAGCTTTTGACACTGTTGACCATGAGATCCTTATGCAGAGACAAGAGGACTGGGTTGGTGTTGCTGACAGGAAGCACTTGTGGAGACTGGAAACTGTGTCTCAGATTGTATGGCCCTGAACATCAGTTAATACCAAGCCCCGGCGATCCAAGATGGCGGCCTATTAAAATGAATGGTTGTGCTCAGCGGCGCTTTGTGCCGGCACGGTCGCTGACATATTAGCAGAACTCGCAAAGATCCATGGGAAACTTGTCTGTATTTGGGCATCGTCTGGTCCTCCCGGTTCTGCGCAGTGGATGAACTCCCATGATGCGTTGCGCCAAACACGCGTGTGATGGTCTCACACGGGTCCCATGCACGCGCACAGAGGGGCTCGGCCGCGCTCTGAGCCATCAGAGCAGTTCATCAGAGCGGGAGTTAGAGCGAGAGCCAGACGAGCAGAGTTTGTGGCAGTAAAGTGTGGATTTAAAGGATTTAAGAAGAAAAAAAGTTCAGAATGACAAGGGACACCACAATCCCCACAAAATCCGACCTTTATGAAAGCTGTAGGTTCTCTGTCAGCTGAGGTTGCGCTGTTTTAATTTACATTGAGTTCAATGGGGGAAATTTCTGGGTAGTCCATGTGAATTTTGTCTGGTTTAGTCTGCAGTACCGCAAGAATACCCCGAGCACCTGAGTTCTTCAGCTCAAAGCTAGTAATACCCTATCCAGTTTTTATAATAGATCCATGGTTAATACGCAGTAACTTGTCCTATCACAACTATGCAGACGACACTCAGATCTATGTGGACTCACTCCTTCACTGCACCCAGTAGATCAGTGAGTGGAAAAAGTATCCAAAAAACTTCCTTCAGCTAAACACAAAACTGTAATGATTGTCTTTGGTCCCCAGAAACAAATACAGGCCGTCATCTGTCACCACTAGTTCCGCACCCTAAAACCTTCAAATCAGGCCAGAAATCCAGGGGTAAGACTCAGTCTTAAATGTTAATAGCCACATCAAATTAGTAACATCAGCTGCATTTAACCATCTAAAAATAATTCCCAGGATAAAAAAAATAGTGTTTATAGCAGACTTGGAGATTATTATCCATGCAGCTGTAGTCCTAAATAGAACCAGGAAGTACAACCACATTAGTCCAGTTCTCAGGTCTCTGCACTGGCTTGCTGTGGCTCAGAGAATAGACTTTAAAACAGCTCTGCTTGTGTACAAGTCTCTCCATGGCCTTGCACCAAATGTTAGTGACATAAACTCGGACTCTGAGGAGCACAGGGACGGGACTCCTGCTGGTGCCCAGAGTCAGAACTAAACATGGGGAGGGAAAATCTGGAACAGTCTTCTTGAAAATGTGAGACAGGTTTCTTCTCTGACATTGTTTAAATCCAGGTTAAAACAGTTGTTTTTTTCTGCTGTGCACAACTGAGGATTTTTATCTTTACTCTTTTAATGTACTGTACTTGTTTATGATTTTAATGCCTTGTGTGACTCTATCCTGTTTTGTTCATCACTTTGAGTTGCCTTGTGCATGAATTTTGCTATACAAATAAATTTGCCTTTCCTGGCCATTATTTATGAATATAATTCAATACAGTGTTATTAGGGCCTAATTTTATTGTTTAGGACATTTTTAGAAGTGTTAAGACACTTACTCTAGCTTATACTTATTTTCATTTTGGAGAAAACAGTTATAAAGAGTACTCTTTTGGGGGACATCATTCACATCGTTGTTGAGCTGTTGAGATTTCTGTGAAAGTGTCTCCCCCTGTCACCTGTCATACCATTTATGGCTTTGGTATGCTTTATTCTTACGTTTCCAAATGATAAAAACAATATTGCTTGAACATTCTTCTATGGGTGCCTGTTGGTATTACAGAAAATGTGTTCCACTGTGAATGTTAGAAAGATAAATGTAAGATTCTGTGCTGTTGAGGGCAGAGTTGGGGACATTGTAGATATGAGCAGCCACATTCCAGTACAGACCAGGGGACACATTGCTCACTGTTTGGTTCAGTGAAAGAAAACATTGATCGCAGAAAAAAGGCTCTTACCGAGAAAAAGATGGGCAATAAGAGAGTATTCACATGAGAATCAGAATTAAAATTTAAATTGCCACTTTTCTTTTTTGAATATTTAAAATTTTGATTCAGGAAAATTGAACAATGACAAGACATTTCCATGTTTACCTAATTCATCTTTATTAAACTAATTCCTTTCTACATTCAATAAAAACAAATAGGTTACATACAAGGGTGATAATGGGACAAGGCATTTTAAACTGGAGTACCTCACTTTATTTTTTCTTCATAAATATATTTTGTTTTTTGTAATAGAAGGATTCTTGTTTTTGTAAAATTTCGCTATGAAATCAGACCAAAACATGCTGTCTTTATCTTATTAGAAAATGGTTTCACTTTAACATGCCAATTATTGGAAGGCGCGGGGGCTGAGTGGATAGCACTCTCGCCTCTCAGCAAAAAAGTCCTGGGTTCGAATCCCGGTCGGAACAGGGCCTTTCTGAGTGGAGTTTGCATGTTCTCCCCGTGTCTGCATAGGTTTCCGGTTTCCCCTACCACTAAAAACATGCACAATAGGTATGAAAGTGAATGGATGGTACTGTATCGTTTGGGAGCTGATGGTCCAGTGTGTTCGGCGACTCACTTCCCTCATCACCGTGCGTGGAATGATTGGAACAATTTCTGAACTCTGAACCTTGTAAAGCGCTTTGGGTGACCTTAGTCTGTAAAAATGCACTATAATAAACATTACTTACTTACATTGTCTGTTAGGGCTGATACTTTCTTTTCCAAAAAATCTGATTTATAAAACTCACAGATTGTTTTGAGAGCTTTGAACTAGTTATATGGATTTTATTACATAGTTATTCTAAAGTAGTTTTAAAATTAGATTTGAATTAATAGACAGCTTTATTAGACACATGGGCGACAGTGGCGCAGCCCACCACAAGAATTTCTTCACCGACTCCCACTGATGTCTGCTGTTGTTGCGTCCTTGGCAAGACACTTAACCTTTGGGAACACCTGATGCCACAGTGGGGCGGCTTAGACAAACCCCTGAATTTTTGCTTTCTTTATTATGTATGTTCTCTAGCTGCAGAAAGCTAATGCTATGTTTAAGACATCACCCTTGTAGGGCTCCATGCACTCGTGTCCGCAGCCGTTGTAGCAGCACTTCATGTGGCCCTCACAGTCAGTGTCTGAGGAGCAGTACTCCGCACACATGCCCACGCCCCTGGCTTCACTGCACACATCAAAACATTAACAATAGCACTTCACATTGTGGCATTATTCATTCACACCATGGTGGTTAACTATAACTGTAGCCAGCAGCTCTGGGTCATACTGACAGAAGCTGTGCCCCCCAGAATACCACAATCCATTCATACACAGACCATATATATTCTAGGATATGTGAGTGAAGTGTCTTGCCAAAGGACACATCAGCAGTTTGGCACTTAGCAGCTGCACCACTGTGGCAGTTCTTCCAGAGGTCTCCCATCACAGTACTGACCGGGCCAGGCCAAACTTCTATTGAAGAATGTCATAATTTTCTCGACTTTTTCTTGAATGCACCACAGAATAACTCAAGCAGAGCAGAAAGCATTATTCATTAAAATAAACAAATGACAAGTGAACACATTTTAAAAGTTGCATCTCCTGTGAGTCCTGTGCCATGATGTCCAGAGTCCATATTCACAAATATAAAAAGTGCTAAAGTCAGAGCACAGATAACAGAGCAGTGCTTGTCCATGTTGCCTGCAGCCTGGAATGCACTGAGACCCCCGGTAAACACTTCTATATCCACAATAAGTGAAGCCCATGAGGACTGGCCCTGGGTCTTACTTATTTTTATATATATATATATTTAAAATAAATATGTTTTAGTTTTTTAGTTTAGTTAGTTTAGTTTTTTTAGTAATTTTTTCTCTCACAAAATCACTGGGATATGTTCGCTGATACAATTCATCTTAATGGAGTGTTATCTTCAATCAACTAATTCATCTATTGTTACTTAGTTGGTAGAGCACTGGTCTTTAGACCTAATGGTCGTGGGTTCAATCCCTCCATGACCCATGTCATCTGTTCACACTGATGTCTGCTGTCGTTGTGTCCCTGGGCAAGACCCCACACTGCCTGAAGCCCCCGCTGGAAGACCAAGGCAATGTCTTCTATGACGGAGAAGCCATCATTCCACCTGCAGGAGGATCAGTGAGGGACTGGTGCTATGAGACTTAGACCTCTGACACAGAAAAGGAATAATAAAGGGGATGAAAATGACAATGTGACATGTTGATGACTCCATAATGGAAATATACAGATTCAAATTAGAGTGTAATGGTTCTCAACTGGAAGAGTGTTGAGACCCACAATCAACTTTTCAAACCATGCACTTGTATGTTGTCTGTTATGTTGATTTCTGCGATGATGATGTTTGTGCAGGATTTATGAAGGTTATTTTGTGTTTTTATTATCAACACTTTTTTTTGCTTTTGAATTCTATAAACTGTAACAAAAAAGTATTCAGTGTAAATAAATTCAATGTTTTAAAATTCAGTGTCCAAAATATTCAATGTTTTAAAATTCAGTGTCCAAAAATTCATTGTTTTAAAATTCAGTGTCCAAAAATTCATTGTTTCAAAATTCAGTGTCAAAATTTTCAATGTTTTAAAATTCAGTGTCCAAAAATTCAATGTTGAAAAAAATTCAGTGTCCAAAAATGTGTTGCATTTTTTTCCGCTGCTTGAAATGTCAGGCTTTATTTCCGGGTAAATCAAGAACAAAGCAATCGATCAGCCAATCCTCCATAGATGTAGCCAGGGCCAGAACACGACTGTCTTGTTCATCTGAACATGGCGTCCACAGCAAACCAGTAAGTGTGTTTTCTCATCATTAGTAGTTGGTATGTAAGGCGCAAACCACTATGTACTTTCTGAACATGTTTTTACCTTAGGTTATCATTAGCTAGCTCCGCGTAGGTGGCTTCTACGTTTTGGCGATTCCCCAAAGCTAATCTTCGCTAATGCTAAAATGAACCGCAGGAAAGCCAAGTACATGGGGGTTTGCGGTTCTCGTGTGACATATGTACCATGTTCCGAATTTCAATGTGTATATTATTCTAGCAGTGCAGCAAGGACGAAACCTGCTGACTGTTTAGAGACAGAGCATGCTAAGGGGTCGTTGTTAATTATGTTGTTCATTTTTATGTATCTAGACCTCCGATAATTATTCTATCTTTACTCTTAAATTTTGACATCTTAGTGAAACCAAGATGAATGAAGGGTCGATTCTTTAGGGAGAAAACAAACCCACGGATTCAATATTAATGCTACAGAGAGGAATCAGACTGATAGATATGGTTTTAATTGAGTATATTTGTAAATCCCACTCTACCAGCCTCCTGTTAAAGACTGGCAATGTATTTACATTTACTGTTGATATGACATGTTCGTGTGTGTTTGTAAAGGCATCGTACTTCTGCTCCTCCTCAGAGCGTCTGTTTCTACTCTACTACTGTGTATTTATTAGGGCTGTCAAACGATTAATTTTTTTTTGTTGATTAATCGCATAGTAATGGTGAGTTAACTCACGATTAATCGCATTTTTAACATTCTATTTCAAATCCACTCCAATTGAAGTTAAATGAGATTTTCAAATGTAATGACACATTATTCATACCAAATGTACTTCAATCTGTTTGACTTGCTCACAACCTTCTACTTTTGGGTACAACCAACAAGAGCTGTTAATGAAAGGAAAAATGTAGGTACCCCAGCTTTAATTTTGCGAGTTTGGTTGCATTTCAGCGTAGGCCTGTCGCGATACTCAATAAATCAATTAATTGCACGATAAATAAAATTTGCTCAATAACTTTTCTGGCCGCGATAAATCCCATTTGCATGCTTGTTTGTTTCCCCCCTCTCTCTCGGGTCAGAGCCGCAAAGTGGTCACGGGAACATTAGCGGTCTAGCAAGCAGACGGAAATTACTCAAAAATACAAAATACAGCCAAAACAGGACCTAAACCAGGACTTAACCAGGATTGACAATGGGGGACACAGTAGTTGTGAACATATGCCGGCAGCTGAGTTCTCATTCAGGCTTGATTAGTGACTATACTAGCGCAGCTAGCGTTAGCGTGTTCGCCGATGCAGAAGTACCGTACCAATAAAATAAACTTATGGCGCACCTCCGTGAACACATACTGCTGTTATATAAAGTCTCTAGAAGGTCTCTGAACACAGAGATGCTGCAGACTTGCATTCTTGGAGTAGAACTTTACACAAAAAACCCGCTAGCTTAGCTGTTAGCATCAAAGCCCGCCCCGCTACTTCCGGTGGGCGCTACCGCAGCAGGACTTCTGTACGCCCCATTGGTGAACCCACATGTCAGTCACTTGTCATTCGCCTGGTGTGTCTTAAGCCACACAAAGTCAACATGTTGGTATTTCTTTCTCGTAATCTGCCATAAAGTCTGAGAAATTATTGACATTTGAGGCATCTGTTTCATATTTTCTTTACAAAGGTCCAGGCAGTTTTATTCCTGGTCATTTTTTGTTAAGAGACTTGAGTATTTTATTTATTGTTTTTGGTTGTTTGTAAATTTATTGTGTTCTAGCGTTAAATATTCGTTAAAAATAAAAGTTTATTTCTCTTTGAAAAGGTGTACCTGCATGATCATTGTAATCGATGCAAATGATCTCAGAACGCCAATATAATCGCTTATCGCAATAATTTCTGAGACAATTAATCGTCCAGCAAAATTTGTTATCGTGACAGGCCTATTTCAGCGTGTCTCCTCCTCTCCTCCATCATCAGAGAACATCAGAGAATAGCCCCTGTGTGTGTATATATATATGTGTGTATTATATGACCACGTTACCGCTGTCACCATCACACACACGCACGTGTCCGTGGCATTCTGAGTGATATTATTATAAATGGGCGGGTCATTCGGACATGCGATTGACTGCCAGCCTATTTCAGAACAGGTACCCACAGAATATTGTTACTATGACTATCTGAAATCCAAAACCAGATTCTGAAAGAATGGACTGTCTACTTTCATCAGCAAAAATAATTTTGTTTCTAGCTTGTTTCGTTCCCCTGTAATCCCCAGTCGAGTAGAGGTAAGTTTTATTGAAATCACCAGAAAGCTGAGAAAAAAGAGGCACTTGTGCATCTAGCTGTTTTCAACCCATTCATAGAGCAATGCTGCCATCTGCTGGCTCGATAAAATATTGCCTCAAGCCTTACATCTGATTCAACAGACATCTGGGAACGTGAAAATAGCGGGAAACGCCATTGACGTGTTAACACGTCAATGGCAGTTAATGCGTTAATTATTTTTAACGCGTTAATGAAAACGGTTATTAACGTAAATTAACGCGATAATTTTGACAGCCCTAGTATTTATATTAATTAATTTGACTGGGACAGTACATGTATATGAACATATATGTCGACATGTCTGATTGTAACAAAAGGCTCATTTTAATCCCAGAAGGTTGGTTTGATGACAACAAATTATCTTTAAATATAGCAAAAACGAAGTTTATGGTGTTTGGTAAAAAAAGAAAAACTGAAGTCACTCTATCTATTAACAGCACAATTATTGAAAGAGTGAATGAAATAAAGTTCCTTGGTGTAGTGTTGGATGACAGTTTAACATGGAAACCACATATAATGTACGTGAAAAATAAAGTATCGAAAAGCGTATTTATTTTGAACAAATCTAAATACATGTTACCCGTCCACATATTGCGAATGTTATATTGTTCTATGATTTTGCCTTATTTTACTTACTGTGTAGAAGTGTGGGGTAACACGTATGAAAGCAGTATAAAGTCGTTATCCTTACTACAGAAAAGAGCTGTCCGTATAATACACAGAGCTGCATTTCGAGAACATACAAACTCACTATTCATTAGGTCCAAATTGTTGAAATTTAAAAATATAATAGAATTACAGACATTATTAGTCATGTTTAAAGCTAGAAATGCAAGAAAATGTCAAATAAGGCCGCACATCCCTGTAATCTGAGCTGGCGTGCTGGATTAAAAAATGCAAGACGTAGAAAACAGTGAAAAATAATCCGCACAGCTATGTAGCTCCCAAAAACAGTGTAATTTATTTACATACCACACAAAATAGTTACGTTTCGGGCTGAGGCCCTTCTTACACTGTTTTTGGGAGCTACATAGCTGTGCGGATTATTTTTCACTGT